GTACATGTGTGTATGTGTGTAGGGATGCATACCATGACATGTGGGTGAAGGCCAGAGGACAATTTACTGGAACTGGTGACCTCTTCCTCCCACATGGATCCTGGGAATGAAATTCCAATTTTCAGATCAATAGGCAGATCCTTCACCCACTGAGTTTTGAGGTCTATTTTTATTTGTGTATATATGTTCCTGGGAGTGCATGCCACATGCACATGTGGGTGCCAACGGAATCCAGAGAGGCCACTGGCTCTCCTGAAGTTGGATTTACAAGCAATTATGAGCCAACTGACATGGGCTCTTGGAGATGGAACTGGAAGATCCCCTGGGAGAGCAGGAAGCATTGTTGACTAGTGAGACATCTCTCCAGCCCACAGCTATTCCTGATTCAGTGATGATCGCTGCACATAGGTTCAGTAGGGATTTGGTGCATGTCTTCTCAACAGCAAGTGCCCAGGCTGATCTCCTCCTCTCACTGGCTTTCTCTTCCGTCTGTCTTTCAGCCTTCTCCTTGCTTTTAATTAGATAAGGAAAACTCTCTATGCATATTTTTTAATTTCCTTTAACTCTTTTTTCTGTTCATTAACTTTGGTTTTTGCTTTCAATAACCATACACAACTGAACAAAGAATGAGAAATGAGTGGACCAGAAGATCCGTCTGAAGAATCCATAGTTCCAAGTTTCATTCTGAGAAATGATGCTCTTTGTTTGCTTTTTGTTTTGTTTTGTTTTTCTTTTTTCGAGACAGGGTTTCTCTGTAGCTTTGGAGCCTGTCCTGGAACTAGCTCTTGTAGACCAGGCTGACCTCGAACTCACAGAGATCCGCCTGCCTCTGAGAAATGAGACTCTTAAAGTTACTCCAGCCTCCACGTTTTCTGGCTGCTGTTTACATGCTTTAAAATCCCCAATTAGTCTCTATTAGCTGTGCTTTGTATGTTTAGGACACAGACACCCTCCAATTTACCCATTTCCTGCTCATGGGCCCCTACACCTTCTCCTGCCTGGAACCACTCTCTCTAATGAGTTTAATTGTTCTTTCATGAGGATACTAACAATTCTCAGTCTTTATCTATAAATACTTTATCCTTCTCTTTTTTAAAAAGAAATCTAAGTTGACAGCATTTTTTTTTTTGCTCCATTCTATCTCACGGTTAGTGTTGTTCCTTCACACATGGTGTGGGTGTTCGCTGACTTTCTAGAATTCCTATTGGTTACCCATTAGACTCCATCATTCAAACCCCCATTTCTCTACACCTTTGTCATTGTTGGTTTTGCTTTTTTGGTTGTGTTGTTGTTGTTGCTGGTCTTCACATTTTGTGTCTTCCTCTGAGTGCTTACGCTGCAAGGTTTCCTGGGATCGATTTCCCACTCCACTAACCCTTTGCTCAGCTGTGCTCATCACACCGTTCATCCTATGCCTGTTACAATGGATGCAGCTGTCATCTACAAAGCCCTAGACAGTGCATCTTCAAACATACCTCTTTATTTTTTTACCCTCTGTTTTAAATTCTTCCTCTGGTTTCTTCCACACTTTAGTCATACTTATTAAAATTCCTTCTGATTGTCATATTCTTGGAGTCAGTTCCCCAATTTGTTGTCTTCTGACTTACCCTTCTTTGATTAACTTCCTGTGTTTCTAAAGTTTTAGGATTGTTTCTAGGCTAGTCATTGCTTTTTAATTTGAAAATCTCTGAGAATTTAAGACATGAGTACTGTATTTACACGGTCTCTCCTCTTCCCTCTTTCCCTCCAACTCCTCCCACGTGTTCCAGACCCCTCCCAAATTCACGACTGAGTTTCCTAGAATTATTATTATTATTTTACACGCATGCACATTAAAAACCCTACTGAGTCCCATTTAGCGTCGGCCCCTTCCAGGGGTGCTTTATGTTGTGGATGCTGGCTGTGGACTTGCTTGTTATTTGTTCAGGACTCTTGAGATGCTATAGATCTCAGGTGAATTTTTTACATCAATTTCTCCATTACGGGGTTCATACACAGAAAGACTAAAAACGACACCTGCTTGAGGGCCAAACTTTGTGTCTGAGACTCTCCGTTCGAGCCTGGGACACATAGCAAGGTTTCATCCCTGTCCTCTGAGCCTTTTGAGGACCTCTGCTCTGTTTTCTGTGGGAGTGCACTCACCACCGCCTGCTACACATAACGTGAAGGGCACAGCTCCTGAGCCTAGAACGGCATTGCACTGATCTTAGTTCAGTTTCTCTGGTCTGAACAGTCCCATCAGCATCCGGACCTTCTGGGGATTTACATTCTTGGTGTCTCCTCATCAGCCCACCCTCCTTCCCTTTGAACTTGGCACTGCCCTTCTTCTAGGGTGACTAGAGCGCTGTGCACAGACTGCACACGGCTTTCTAGAAATTCCCTGACCCTATCCCCACACCTAGAAATTGCTACAGAATACGGTTTAAACCTGGACCTGTTTTACTGCTCGAGTTTCTAGAACAGAAGTCGCACCCTTGCAATCTTGGGATCAGTCCAACCCACAGATGTGTTTTGTTTGGCCTGGACACTTTTGGCATACACTGTGTTTAAAAAAAAAATCTCACTTTGGAAACCAACTCTTGGAAACTCCAAAGATTTCACATAACATTTTTTTTAATCTTTAAAAATGTATTTATCTATTTATTTATATTTATTTACTTACTTACTTACTTATTTTTTTGGTTTTTCAAGACAGGATTTTTCCGTGTGGCTCTGGCTGTCCTAGAACTCACTCTGTAGACCAGGCTGGCCTTGAACTAAGAGATCCACCTCCCTCTGCCTCCCTGAATTCTGAGATTAAAGGTATGTACCACCAACACAAAGCAATAAGACTGGCTCTTTCTCTATAGCCAAGCTGGCCTTAGACTTATAGCAATCCTCCTGCCTCTGTGTCCTGAGTGGTGGGATTATAGGCATGTGTCACTGCACCTGGAATCTAACTTGTTTGTTTAATGGAGAGACCTGGAGGTGGCAACAGTGAGTGGGGCTATCTACCACTTGGCTACAACCTGCTGGAGCGGGGAGTACCTCAGCCCACAGTCAGGTTGCTGGTTCTCCCTTTCCCACTACACATTATCCACCCAGACTGTTTACACAGTCCCTATGCATAGTCTATTTTGCTAT